AAAAAAAAGACATGATTGCTAATAAATTTATAATGCTTATTTCTTTCTTTGTGTTTCATATCCTATCAAGTGTCATTTTTTTCTGACTTTAATTTGACTATTTGACAGGTGATTGCCAATTTTAGTGCTACATGGTGTGGTCCTTGTAAAATGATTGCACCTTTCTATCGCGAGCTGTCTGAGAAATTCCCTGCTCTTGTTTATCTTACCGTTGATGTTGATGAGCTAGCTGTAAGTACTGTGACACTGAAGAACTCGATCTGCTTAAAGCTACTCTATATACATGTCAAGTATTTCTTGAAGGCTTATTTAAAGCTGTCTGTGTTGCCCTAGTTAGAATAAGAACTCTCTAAAATCTGCAAAACAATTTTCTAATGGGATAACGTCCCTAAAGTATACCTCATTCTAGGAATTGAAAGTATTTATCTGGTTCATTCTTTCAGGAGTTTAGTACATCATGGGATATCAAAGCAACTCCAACCTTCTTCTTCCTTAAAGATGGACAACAAATTGACAGACTTGTGGGGGCAAACAAACCAGAGTTGCAGAAGAAGATTATAGCCCTACAACATTCTGCTCACTTGAAATAGCTCTCTGTGATTGTGAGCTTTCGTTATTGAAGGGTTTTAAGTTCTTGTTTTTTTAACCCTTGCAGGTGACCGTAAATTCGCTATGGTGAATTTGATTGCTAGTAAGTTGTGTGTATTGGAAACTCTTAATGTTGCACTCAAATGTCCAAATCACCCGTGTTCTGAAATATTAATAAATTTTTGGTATTAATTTTAAAATTTTTTTGGTCAAGGATTGATTTGGAACTATTTTATTTTATTTTTTGTTTCCTTCTTGCATAGACCTGTTTTAATGTATCAGTAACAGTTAGAGATTCGGGTAGGTTATGTTTATTCATGACTCGACCCTCGAACTGGGGTAAAGCTATCTTGGTAAAAACTGTCAGAAGAAACGAATGGATCAATTCAGATTATGAGAGTTCAAGCTGTCAAATGGACACCTCATAGACATTCCACTGCTTTTCGAATATGTTATATTTCCATCAAAACCTGAGGATGCATCCGGATCCTTCTTCCCTTTATATGTGACATCCAGTTCTCCAGTACCCTTGCCACTTTCCTTGGTGCTCTCTTGAAGTTGCAAAGCAAACTCAAGGTTCCAAAGCACATCGCCCATAGATGGCCTCTCCGTCCCGACGTCTGATAGACACTTCACCGATGTATCAGCAAACTTCTTAAAGCACTCGGGTGCAATCTTACCCTTTAGATATGGATCGATGATCTGGTCAAGAATGCCCAGGTTATGGCAATGTAGAGCCTACTCCACAAAGCTAACTTGCTCCTTTGGAAGTGT